TGTATGGATGAGGGATGGATGGATGGATGGATGATGGATGGATGGATGGATGGATGGATGGGTGGGGAGAGAGAGAGAGAGAGAGAGAGAGAGAGAGAGAGAGAGAGAGAGAACAAGCTTGCTTCCCTGTGTACTTTAGAATATGTCAACTGACTTTCATTTCCCCTAAAAACTGGCAAAACCCCACCAGCAGCACTTTATGGTGATAAGGATATCTGATGGATTACTGGTCGGTAGATTCAGGATGACAACATCTGCCACAAGCTCTGTAGCCAACATTTACAAAGTATCCTAAGCTTTTTTCCCCTTTATCAAGCAAGAGAGCATGCCAACAAATTTAATAATATGACAACATAATGATGATGATAACAGAAGTAATAATAGAAAGAAAAAGATACAAGTATCAAATTTTATACTTTACAAGTATTAACAAATAAATTGGTTTGAATAACAATTAACATAAATATTGCATATAATATTAAATTTAAATTTAAAGAGGAAAAAGAAAATTAAGGCCTCTTTTTTTAAAAAAAAATCACAGATCAAGGTCTAGGAAATTTAATCCACTCACTCAGAAAGATTTCTTCCATTCCTTTCTATCAAAGAGCAGTAATGTTGTCATATCAGCAATCCATATTTCAGGTGTTTATCCATCCCATTTTATATAAATTTATTTTAGCTATCTTCTTCCCATGCATGAAGTGTCCATAACTCTTGGTGTCTTAATAAGTAATACTGGGGATATTAAACAAGGAAAACATATATATATTTTGGAGAAGTAGAAACATCTTAAAGTCATATTGACAGTCCTATGAATTTCCAGCCAAATTAGTGGGGTGAGCCCAACCCATATAGTTTCTGTTCCAATTCCTAAATTCCATCTCCAACAGCAAGCTGATGGTAGCAGGGATTGCCTCACAATTTGTCTAATTGAACCAACTGGAGCCCATAACCATGGTTATTTGAAACTTATATTGAACTGACTTAATATTAATTAATTACAGGCTGAATGGACCAAACACCACTTGGGCAATTTAAACCAATTAGAAGTTTTAACTGGCAGATATAAGAGGCTAAATGCTTCTGTGTAATTTGCAAGTCTTGTTTCTTCAGACCTTCAAGCAGTGCTTCATATAAGACATACAGGTCTAAGCTATTATTGTGTTATAACGATACATTGTAAAATGTATTGTTATAATGACTGTTGAAAAGGGCTTTTTTCCCCTTTTAAAGCAAGAAGATAAATAAACAGCAATGTTTAATTTATTTTTTTGCAGGTGCATGTTCCAAAGCAGTTTCTCTACTTTTTACTATCATAGCATGTATGTTATATAAGCCTCCACCAGATCTTATTGCGGCTTCAAAGATGAAAGATCAAACAAGCATTTCAATACATCTTTAAATGAAGAACAACTAATCTTTGCAGAGAAAGTCAAAGAAAAATCTCAGTGATGTCCAATGGCAGCTGTGACTTCTGAGTAAGAGTGATACCAGCACTGGAGGACTCTGAGCAACTCATTTAATTTTTTTAAAAAATAAATACTGTTTTACTTTACATCCATTTTACTTCAAGTGTATTTCAGTCACATGAAACTTTTTTTACCTCTCAAGAGAGTAGTATGATTGTTTAAATATTTTAACCAGCCAATCAACATTAGGAATTCATTTAATTTTAATTACCTGCTCGAGTAACTCTGCAAATGGTTGTGGGAAGATGGAGATGTTCCATGAGACATGGAAGTACCTTGATATGAAACAGCATCTTCAGTGTTGGCCTGTAACAGGCAAGCACAATCTTTCAGGCTGAGTGCCAAAGATGGTGTTTTAGAGTACACCAGGAGCCACTCTCTCAAAAGATTATGGGCCAGGACAAAAATGAAATGAAATAAAATAAAATCTCTTAACATGATTATTAACCATATATTTAATAATTTTTCACATTAGTCCATTTTAAAATTATGTTTTTTTAATGTATTTTATTTAACCCCTCTTATTTCTATTCTGGCAAGTACATAAAGGCAGCTAACAAAATGAAATCAACACCTCCCCTCAAAATACCAGATTACCCAAAGTTAAAAACATTTACTAAAATTAACCCTAACATATGCACTAAAATCATTGAACAATTAAAGCCTGACACAATCAGTTTTCTAAATGCTGGAAGAGTGGAGATCAAATATAATTCCCAATGAAGTACACTGTATAATGTGGGGACAACACAGAAGGGAGGTCCTCTTCTACATGTCACAAAAATTGGCCTTTTTAAGGTCATCTTCAGAAGGGTAGTCCTTCAGATAGTCAGGTCCTAAGCTGTTTAGGATTTGGGGGATCAGTGCCAACACCTTAAATTGTACCCAGTAGCAACTGGCCCTGTACAGATATTTTGGTATAGGTATCATATGAAGCCTGAATCTTGTACCAGAACAGCCTAGATGACAAATTTTGCTCCAACTGCAACTTTTGGATATTTTTCAGAGGTAGGCCCACGTTAAGTAGATGAGAATAGTCAAGATGGGATATAATCTAGGCATGGATAGCCATCATCAAATTTGACTAGTTCAGAACAAGTTGCAGCTGGTGTATTAGGTATAATTATTCAGAGGTGCTGTTCGCTTCAGCTACCATGCATGAATCCAATGATAGCTGAGGATCAAGGATCATTCTCAGATTGGAAACCGACTTTTTCTGTGGGAAGTGAACTCCATCTGAAACAGGCTGAATCTCAATTCCCACAAAACCTTTCCTGTTTACCAATAATATCCCCATCTCATCTGAATTTAATTTCAGCTGATTCTTCCTCATCCAGCCCTCTTGCATCCTTGGAGTTGGGTGAAAAGGATGAGGATGGTTTAGGATTGTTTGCATGACATCCTTTTTGAAAATTTCAGATGACTTCCCCCAAGATGGAACCCTGAGGATCACCACTGGTGCTGAATGTGGTCCTCCAACACCACATTCTGGACATGGCCTGACAGACAGAACTAGAACCATTATAAAGTGATGTCTTCATGGCCCAATCCTGCCAGGCAGCCTAGATGGATGTCATGAGATTCAGGAAGTCCAGCAGAGTTCTGACAGAAGTCATCCACCAAGGAAACTGGTGTAGTTTCCTTACCATGGCCAACTGAAAGCCTAACTGATATAGATCCAGAAAATTAGTATCATTCCCATCTGTTTGAAGTTGCAAGGCCACTACCTTCCTGATCACCTGTCTCAAAAATAGTATATTTGAGAACGGCCTATAACTGTACTGATCTTTTACGTCAAGGAAAGTTTCCTTTAGTAAAGTTGTTATTACTCCCTCTTGCCAGGAAGCCCTGATCACTTCCTTTCAGCATAGGCCAATTTAATCAGTCAAGGAGGAGTCAAGGATTATCATGGCCAATTTAATCATTTGGAGAGAATAATAACAGATTAAGCTATGGCTAGGTTACAGCCCTAAGACCTGCCCTAAACCTGTTATTAAAACTTGGTTCACAAAGAATGGTGCAAGTAGCCCACAGTGAGCCAGTAACTGTTTCACCACACTCAACAATCGAAACTGCAGTTCAGCAATACTATTTGAAATTAGTCTTGGGCCACTTCCAAGGACTTGAAGGCTATGTCTAAGACTTAGCACTGATGTATTCATTTCAACACTCACAGCATTTCAGGTATTTCCTTGATACGTAAATGCTGAGCGACATTTTGGCCTACATTTATAAGAAATCTCTGGCTGCAGGTATCATGAGAGACCACTGTTATTTGCATTTATGAAGCATGGAGAACCATTCTGCTCTAGTGCTCATCTTCTTGTCTGTTTTGTAAAGTTATCTGAGATTTGTTTGGATTGTCAGCAGCAAATGGGCACTGTAAATAAGGCTGTTGAATGGGACCAGATCAGGGAAAGCATATATCTTGGTGTGTGTGTTCTTTTTTCCACAAATTTATTCATTTCTACAATTTGCAATGGCAAAATGTTTTTATTACATTAAAGAAGTTTACTTTTATTAAAGAACATTTTTAAAAAGATTGGAATCTCATCTTACAGTGCTCAGTGCATACTAGCCAGTGTGGTGATATGTGTCTTTATAAGGAAAAGACCTCCATGTGGTTAAATATGTTCTCAATAAGTTTTTTTGTGAGAATGCTGATTTATTACATTAACAGTTTAATCAGTGGATAGTTTTGTAACCTCACTGAAAAATGAAGAGAAAAGATAGGGAAAGAAAACCATCTAACTTCATTTTAAGCAAGTCATGTAACGTGAAAGTGCCTTCAATATTTGAACTATATTCAAGTTATATAATTAGTGGGTATCCACATGAGCACTCCGAGATTTCAGAGACCTGCATTTGACTTCTGCCTAGAAGTGTGATACCACACTTTTCAAATTGCTTTGGAGCTCCCCCTTAAGACTTAGAAAAGGTACTTTATTTTGCTCCAAAATATATATTTTTTAAAATTGCTCACTTGGAAGTGGCAGACAGTTCATTATAAACTTTGTGATGCATATTTTTCTGTAGAGACCATTCTTGATATATGTGTCTGTATGTTTTAAATACCTTTTACTTCAGGGTATTTAAATTTAGTAAGTGTTTGGAAGCGTGATTATAAATAATGAGATGAATAATAATGTATTAAACTTGCATGCTGCCCAACTCTCGACTACTCTGAATATTGAATAGAAGGAGAATTGTAGTACCTTTTGGCCTGCCTTACCCCACTTTAAACCTTACATCAATTTAGCCACTCTGTGCATCTGATAAAGTGAGCTGTAGCCCAAGAAATCTTCTGCCTTCTTATACAATGTTTTAGTTGGAAAAGGTGCCACCAAACTCTTTCTGATTTTTGTCACCAAAGGGGGGGCGGTGACAAAGACAGGTCTATAAGATAATGCAGTTGTATCTCCAGAAAATCCTGTGTGAATATGAAGGAATTCTGTCTTCCCACGGGAACCTGTCTGTTCTAGCTGCAGTCAATAAGCAGTTGTTCTTTGAAAGTTTCCAGGATGCTATTCCAAGGTTGCTGTTGAGTGCTGGAGTGTAGCATGGTTAATTATATCAGGAATATGTTTTCTGAAATAAAAGGCAACATTCTATGCAAATAACCTGAATGGACAACATTTGGTTGTGTCCTTGCACAATATTTTAAAGGAAAGAAGCATTTATTTTAGATAATCATACAATGTAAATGATTTTGTATTTTACTTTGTTCAGTGAGAACCTGTGTAATTTATTTGCATTGATTAAAGCACTTTTCAACGTTGGTATTAATGTGTTTGCATTGTGGACTCTGTTATCCTTGTAAATAACTAACAGCGGAGATATAATTGGAGTATGTGTGGACACCAGTGTGTCTATGGATCCTCCGTTGGCACCTACAGGGTCTCTAGCCATGACATTTAAGAATATATATATTTCTAATTCTGAAGAATGAGAAGCTACATGCAACAAAGCACCATCTTCACACATACTGTACATACATACATACATATAAAAAATTCCCCTCTCACTCCTATCGGTGGTATGTGTCTTCCTCAATCTCAGGTCCTGTACCAGAGGCCTGGAAGTTTGAGGGTTTTGCGCAGTATCTTAGCTGTTCCTAGCACTGCACTCTTCTGGACAGAGAGCTCTGATGTTGTTCCTGGGATCAGTTGGACCCTCTTTCCCAGCTTAGGAGTCCCAGCCTTGAGTGCTCCTACCACCACAGGCACCACTTTGGCCTTTATTTTCCACATCCTCTC